AACCCTAAATTCTAAACCCTAAACAAACCCTAAACCGGGAGGCTCCAGGTTCGCTTGGCCCTCCTGGGCCGCGGCCGACGCCCTCAGCGGGCCAAGGGGGCCTCCTAGCGCCTTGGTTACTGGTTTTGGGCTGTGGGGGTTTCTAGACGGGTTCTCTGGTCTAATGGTTCTATGAGAGTTCTCTGTGAGGTTTCTTTTAGGGTTCGCTTTTGTTTTTTTTTTTGTTTCCTTTTTTGTGGCTACGGTTTCGGTCTGATTAATCTTTTCGAAGGGAGCCGGTGCAAAAGGATTTGCTCCCCTTGCCCGAGGAGTTGGTGGGGGCTTCCCTGGCAGTGCTTTTCATTTTGGCCGCCCGCGCTGCAAAGCCACTGCGGCTGGTTCCCAGACGGAAGTGACCAGGGAGGGTCGCCAGTCTGTGTGAAACGTTGTTCGGAGTCTCGCAGATACAGGAGCTTGAGAGAGCTCACTCTTTTGTGGGATCCGATCTGTTTCAGGAGAGGATCTCCGGTAATGTTCTCACCAGGTTCCTGAGAACAGAGCCTCTCGTATGCAAGGTGGTCATCCGTTTCAACATATAGAGCGTGCTGACGTGACCGAAGTAAGAGGGGAAAAACCACCGACGCGACATCGGTGCGTCTGTGTTTCCGTGTGAGCCACGGAGTGTGCTGCGGTTGTGAAAGAGCTGTCAGGCTGCAGAGTTTACGAATCTGCAGCCATTTGAAAGTTTCAGGAATAATTATGCCTGGGTCGCGACAGCCGACCCCAAGGCTGCATGTCGCCAGCTCGAAATGGATGGCAACATCCCTGCATCATGCGATCTCGCACTGCTTCCAGCAGAGTCGCAGTAGTGCTGGTGCTCATGGCTGGCTTGCTTAGACTTGGCAGAGATCGCAGGAATCTGCTCTTCACGCCATGCTCCTTACCCAGCCGTGCGCCCAGCGCCGTGACTCGTGCCTATGGCGGCCCCTGGCAGGACGAGGTGCAAGTGCACGGCGCGATGTCTCTTGACGACATGCAAGAAACAGATGATCATCATCAGCATGCCTGGAATGCTACACGCGTAGTGCTCGCCAGCTCTCTGGTGGCCTTGCTCCTGTCCTTTGGCATCTCAATGTATCTCTCTTTCAGCTCCTCTTTACCCTCCAGTGAGCAAGTCACTTACGCGGCTTGGTATTCCAAAGTCGCCGACAGGATTCGGGCTTTGGTGGCCCAAAAGCCGGCCTCAGGACCCCCCTCCGTCGCGGCGCGAATCCGTAACATCAGCAGTATCCTAGACGTCACCCTGGAGGACATCTATACCGAATTCTGGCAAAGTCTATCCTCAGACGTCCTCATATTTCGCGCCTACTACCCGCTCCTAAACTTTTACATCAATGCTACCTATCCGCATCCCACTCCGCAGCAGGAGCTCCTTTGCAAATCGCTGCGTTTCGAGCTATTCCGTTTCTCAGCGGCCCTCGATGATTTTGACGCATGCGTTAAGGCAAAGAACATTCGGGGCACGGAGAAGGCATTTGCTGAGCTGTCTGTCGCTTATGACCACTACTTGAAGGCTGCAAACTTGTACGAAGGCTACGACCCGATGACTAGCACAGAGGTGCTGTACAAGGATGTGGCAGACTCTCAGCTGGTGTACACACCTATTGCGGTACAGAAGCCGGCAATTCGGGACGAAGTGCTTGTCATTCGAGGCCCAGACAAGGGCAAGATGGGTCGTGTGATATGGTTGTATGATGGGCTCACTGCCACAGTGAAACTCGAACCTAATCCACTTCTGGGCGGTTCGCAGATGAAGGGTGTGCGGGAAGTTAAGTCATTTCCGCAGACGTGGATAGCTCTGACCAGAACGAATGAACAGAATCGTATTCTGGACCTGGTTCTAGCCGGTGTGGCGACCTTTTTCACTTGTTGCATCACTTACCCTCTTGAGACGATCAAGGCACGGCTCCAGGCCGGGCAGGCAGCTCTTCCCAAGGGGGATGCGGCAGTGGTTGTTTCAGACTTGTACAGTGGCTTGTTAAGCACTCTTTGCAGGGAGGTGCCAGCAAAGAGCCTTTACATCTCCGGCTTCAACAGCATCACCCGGTTCTTCTGTCTCCTACCCTTCGTGGATGCGAACAACGCAGACCTGAAGCTGCTGGTGATGATCCCTGCAGGGGCCTTGGCCTACTTCCCAGGGACCTTCCTGAGGGCTCCCTTTGAACCTAGGTTCCCCAGTAGTACCCTTTTGCCCTTTTTCTTTTGGGGTTCCGTTAATAAAACCAAATAGTAGGAAAAAGGGCACCCTTATTATCAAGGGGCTACTGGGGAACCTAGGAACTCTTGAGCCGACAGCTGCAGACCGGGGTTTACAAGTCGGAGGAGGCGGCCGTGGAGGGCCTCCTTGCAGATACCGACGGCCTCAAATCGAAGTTGGTGAGAAGCTTAGTTCCCCAATACCCAACCTTTAAACTTTTTGGGTTCTTATAATGTAGTAGTAATCTGAAAGTTTAGCCTTTCATGTCCCTGGCCTATGGGCGAAGTAAGGAAGTTGGAGCCTCGTCGTCTTGCGCGGGCTCCCTTTTGGCGCTTTGCAGTACTCTCTCTATGATTTCCTTCACGAAAACGTCGAGTTGGTCCCATTTGGCATACCGCTGAGCCTCCAGCCAGTGATCTGGGGTGCTGCTTCGGGAGCTCTTACAGGACTGCTGACTAATCCACCGGACCTTATCCTGTCCGTACTCCTTGCCAAGGAACAGCCTGAGTCATCGGAGTCACAGGGTGAGAATCTTCTTGAAGCCTCCGGCCGAGCCGCACAGTCTATTTACGACTCGGAGGGTTTTGTGGGCTTCTTCCAGGGGGGAGCTGCGAGGGCTCTCCAAATCGGAGCCGAGTCTTGTGTTTTCTTCACAATCTTAGAAGCACTCAAGGATGGTGCTAAGCTCATTCTTGACTTTTGAAGAAAGCTCTAGACGAAGGGCCTAGACAGGAAGTTCGAGACGGAGCTTTTGTCCTCATGTTGTCAGCTCAGTTAGCTTCGTTGTCTTCCAGTACCTAGAATCTAGGCCCTTTGCAGTTGTTTCAGAACAAACATCGACATGCCCATGCGCTAGGGTCATGGGATGTCTCACTGGGGAACCGGCCAGAACTGGCTGTTCAGCGTCGGAGGGGTCGGAACTCCGCATCGCTACATTCAGTCAACCCCGATGTCGAAAAGGCAGGGTGAGAGCACCAAGACCCAGATCCACGAATGCATCCAGGTATGCCCAGTTAGTCAACAGAAAGTAGATGGCAAAGAACAGTTTACAGTTTGTCGTATTCTTGGTGGTAAAAGCAATAGTATGTGTAGAACAATTGTTAGCACCCTGTGCATGCGTCAGAAAAGCGCCCTCGTCCCCCGCAGCAGCTGCAGCCGCGGCGGTGGTGGTGGTGGTGGCGGTGCTGCTGGTAGACGGGGGACACAGTGGCGGATGTAGAAGGATGGTGATGGTGATGACCGCGACGATGGATGTACGGTGTTTCATTATGATGCCGCTTGCAACCATAGCAACAGTGTTCGCAGCGACTGACGCCACCTGCAGCGATGAATAGCACAAGAAGATGTGTTCATGTTTAATGAGCAAAATCCTATGACATCAGCACCAGTGAAGAACCCTTTTTGGACGATAGCAACGACAACATTTTGAGCCCCTGAATCCAGAAACAAACAGTGTGTTGTGGTGGCTTGATTCCAGGATGCGGCCATCCGGGAAGCCGGCAGAAGATGAAGAGACAGCGGCACGTGCCTTGTGCCCAGGTCCTGAGTGCTGCTTGGGTGGTAGTCGAGGTTGTCACGATCACTTTGCACAGAGGTTTGAACTCGAAGTCCTTGCAACTTTTCCAACATTTTTCCTAGGTCCTAGGTCGTTACCCACTTGTTATTTACTCGCACACTGAGCCCGAGGTAGCACTGTGTATGTTTGCTTGGTAGTGAGATGACATGTGGTGGGTTCAGGGCTACAGGGACTCGTCGACAAGATGCACATAAGAGTCGCAAGCTTGGAACGCAGGGCTCATGGCTCCTCGCAGAAACAGGCGCTGCCTTGCTGTGGCGGGGATGCTGGTGATGGTGATGATGGTGATGAAACAAGCTCTAAACCCTCAAACATGCACTTTTCTGCGACTGTTCTCATCAAGCCTGTTGCGGGAGCGAGCTTTGGACAAAGGTTCCAAAGCTCCAGGAACCCGAAGGATGGTCTATCATCATCCGAAGCCAAACCGATGTGCACGTAAACATTTCTGTATAGATAAATACGTATAGATAAATGAAACATATGTATATATATATATATATGCATATTTTTACATACAGGTACAGTAGTTTTTCATACTCATATGCCCCTACAAGCCATCAGTGCGACAGTATTGTCCCGTCAGCACGAAACTCCAACCCCTTTTGTCGACTCCCTAAACCCCTAAACCCTCAGCCTTACGCTTCTGTCATAGCCCTTATAGTACAGCAGCCCCTTTTGCAATCCGTATAGGCAGCTCTTAGAGTTGGAGCCCTTCCAGTAACCTTGCAGTTACCCCTAAATACCTTGATGGCACCGGCCTTTCGTCTTCCCGCCGGGGCTGCCATGCGCAGCGCACTGGACCTCAAGCAGAATGCCACGGCCTGAGTAATATACTTTAAGCTGTAGAATATATATATATATATATGTATATATATATATATATATATATGTATATATACATACACATAGTACCAACACCGGGAAGCGTGCTTTTATGCTGAGATGCCGAATGGAATTGCAGCTGGCAGCTAGCGCCCCCACGACCGCCACCAGTTCTACCATTGCCATGTCACTACTGGCCAGAGCACCACACCGACGACGATGATTCCGACTGTGCCACTGCCACAAGTGGTGGTGGCGGTGCTGCTGCCACAGTATAGCAGCAGCAGTAGCAGCAACAGCAGTCGCTTTAGAAGAACCAGTAGCACTAGTATAACTAGTAGCACGGGTAACACTGGTAGCGCTGGTAGCGCTAGTAGCAGTAGCAGCAGCATTAGCAGTAGCAGCAGCCAAAGTAGCAGTAGCACTAGCAGCAGCACTGGTCGCAGTAGTAGCAGTGGCGGTAGTAGTCGTAGTCGTAGTCGTCGTCGTAGTAGCAGTAGCAGTAGCAATAGCAGTAGCAGTAGCAGTGCGTGTAGCAGTAGTAGTAGTAGTAGTAGTAGTAGTAGTAGTAGTAGTAGTGGTAGTAGTAGTAGCAGCAGCAGCAGGAGAAGTAGTAGTAGTAGCGGTAGTGGCAGTGGTAGCGGTAGTGGCAGTGGTAGTGGTGGTAGTAGTGGTAGTAGTAGTGGTAGTAGTAGTAGTAGTAGTAGTAGTAGTAGTAGTAGTGGTAGTAGTAGTAGCAGCAGCAGCAGGAGTAGTAGTAGTAGTAGCGGTAGTGGCAGTGGTAGCGGTAGTGGCAGTGGTAGTGGTAGTAGTAGTGGTAGTAGTAGTAGTAGTAGTAGTAGTAGTAGTAGTCAGTAGTAGTGGTCGCGGGAATGACATCTCGAATCAACCAATGCTGTCACACAGTCCCCGACACCAATCT